ATATCCATCTCTCTCTCTAAGGATATTATGTATATACAATTATGTAGGCAATTAAAGTAGGCGCGATACTGCGATTTTGCACATCAAAGTTTTCAGAGTTCAATGTCTTCTACTTGAAGAAATGATTACAATAATTATTTCTTCTTTTTTATTAAAAAAATCCATTTTTTAAAATGAGAACCTGTACTTACAACTTTAATCGGTTTATCCTGAATACCGTGAATATTAATACACACATTTTTGCATGTGCAATAGCATACTTTTATGAAGATGAAAGTTTTTAGACAGCTGTAATTATGTTTACTCGCACTTCGAACAACATTTTCTACGGCACTGGTATATTTTCTGTTTCAATAATCATGTCAATACCAGAAGCTATATAAAGCGAGTGGTCTCAATTTCTTTTTTGTCAGAAATACCGATAGGCTTGGATAAGCGGATTTAGTTCGATTAGATTCTATGCTATCATGTCCATCGAATGCAATATTGAATTATTGTCAAGTTCAAGTCGTTTTGCTTCTCATAAATATATTATGTCTCTCAAAATTATTTGTTAAAAAATTATTGGCACACGAGATTTTGTTTCAAGAAAAATAGATTTAAGCCTGCTTGAGTGGTCAATAAATTTGATCGGTGACGATAGTTATCGAACGACGATTGATTACATAGAAGCGAATCGAAAGTATAAATGCAAATATTCCATCTCCATATTCATAAGAGTTTGATGGATGATATAGAAATTGAGATGGTTCATATAAAAAGAGCATATATTTTCCAAAGACAATAACTTGAAAAATAAAACAATATAAGGATTTATCAATGTTTTATTCAATTTGTATTGTAAATGAAGTTTCTTTTAATAAATATTAACAACCATTTTTTTTATCATAAAAACAATAAAGAATCCAAAAAGTGAAATTTTTGCCTCTAATTAAAAGTTTATAAAAATATTAGCTAATTTATACAATATAAAGTAAATATATTTATATGCAATTATTAATACAATATTATGCCAAAGAGTAATCAACTAAAAACACAAAAAATGTGTAATGAATTAAACGCTAAAAAATAATTTGTTACAAATAAAAAAAATCTTATTTACTTTTTATTTAAAATAAATCGTATCTTCTTCTGATTATTCCCGCACTTTGTAATTTTGTAGCGCTATTGCAATTTTGCTGTTAAGATTATGTTTTCAACCGTGAGAACGAAATTAAAGGAGAAGCTGTTTAAGCCATGCGCAATTGCTACACAACACTTTATGATTTATGGTCCCACGATGTTGACAATGACAGTCAAAGGCCTTAATTGCTATACCCGGTTATCCCTGAGTCATTTCTTCAGTTATGAACCGGCCACCGTGACTGTCGCTAAACACATCTTCATTTCACCGCTAAACGTACCGCTGAATTGGATATCAATTGGTAAATCCATCGAAACGTAATTTAGTACAAACGAATGTCAGTTATTTGAAATGCTAATTACTACTGCAAATTGTAAATGCTACAACATAGAAGATACAGATTCTTCGTTGCAGAATAATTGTTAATTTACAAGAATAATTTTTCTAAAAAACTCGTTTACAAATCTTTTTTTATTTTTGTGCCAATAAATTTTTTCTAGATCTATGCGATTCTTTCTATATCGTTCAACGTTTCTCAGGCACTAATTGCAAGAACACGTTTTTATTTCTGAAGATGTGGATATTTTGCAATGTCATTCCTGCATTAAATGATATTCATCTGCCACTGTTTAAATGCATGATAAATTTTTCACGAAATAGGCCGTGAATGTTACAAAGTATCGTAACTAACGCAAGATTAATCTTGCGGCTCCTAGGTAGAAATTATCGATTGGTTCCAGTGCTTAACGCAATGTAAAGTAAAGTACTGCGTCTTACATCTTGCGACGTTTACGAGTCTTCTAGCGGTTAGTTGGACAGTTTAGCGCTTATCTTTTGTTCATTTTTCATATTTTGATGTAATCAAATCTTGATTATGATATTGAAGTTATCGTATAATTTGCTGATAATATGGAAATGAGCAGTTCGCTTATATTGTTCGAACTGCAACTTTTACATATTCATATTTTACAAAAGATAAAAGTAACAGAAAATTATTAATAAAATAATAAAATAATTTTCTGAACAATTAATACATCCACGTAATAAGATGTTAGGACCAAGACAATAACTTTTTTTTATTTAAATAATCTTTGTTTTCTATTAATATCATTTATTTAAATAGAAACGATTACATATTCAATAAGAAAAGCTGGATATTAAAATATTTTTTAGTTTCTCTCTAAAATTAATTGGGACTCATATCTCTCTTCACAATAAGCGACTCAAATTGATATTTTAAGCTACTCCAATAAGCTTCTAATCAAGAAGCTTCAATCGATGATTAATGGTGTTCAACAAGTTCAAGCAAAAATAATGATTTCCTCGTAAACAGTTTTTTGCGTCCCTCCCAGGAATCTTACCGGCTAGGAATGTGTAACAAGCTGGAATAATCAAGATCGGGCAATCGGTTGCATAGCTCTATTACGATTTCATATCCTGCCAATGTCTCATAGCTAGGTCAGCGGAGCAAAGGGGGTAAGCAGGTTACGTCGCGAGCCAAAAGCGCACGCTTGAGTATCCTACCTGACTCGCGTCGACTCCCGTCGTCGCGGAATCTTCTTCCATCCCACAGAGAAGTCGATGAGCGAATGGGCACCTCCGTCGCGTGTCCTTTTTGCTTCGAGCTCGTAACCGCGAGTGAAAGCTCGTACGCTTAAACGTGCTCGGCATGCCTCAAGCAGCGTGTTTGTTATTCATTCCTCATCGTGGTAATCCAACCGGCGCATACCGTTCATAGAAAATGATCTTTCAGTGATGTTTTTTATGCAAATCCGATAAAGCAAATTTCCAGGCCAGTGAATCTTTCAGGTTTGCGTGTTTGCAAAAATTTATTGCCCGTATTTCAATGGATCAGTGAATCGTGCTTTTTTCGTAACCTTGAAGCTTATATTTTTAATTTCTACAACCAAAAGATCTTCTTAAGGTATTAGCCGTTACAAATTATCGATAAAAAGAAAGATTATAAATTTTAGTTTTGTTGTTGACAAGATTTTCCAGGTTCTTGATTAAGTAAGCCTGTTAGCGTGATATAACATTATTTATAACATATCAATGTAATATGATAGCTAATATGACGCATAATAAACTTGTATAAAATACTTATAATTATAGATCGAGAGTGCTATAAAAATATAGAGATTTAGATCGATCAATTTAGTTTTCCAATTATTTGATTTTATCTATTCAGTTTTTTACATCGCTTAAATGCGTTTGTTTGTGGCACGGTATTCACAGCATAAAACATGTCAAGCGAACTATCAAGGCAGGATGAGATGTTGACTACCAAGGAGCAAATGGTGGTTTTCAAAAATCGCGTGTAAATGGCAAATAAACAATTTGATGTGAAGCCAAAGGAAGACGCAAAGGTGAAAACCGGTTACAGAAAAGAGGCTGCGCCGCAGTCATACGTTGTATATATAATATTCTGATTCCATGCGAAGACTGGAATGGCGTTAATAGGTCGATCAATTGCCTCTTACCCGCCTTATTTTTTTTTCACTGCGTTGAAATATATCCTTTAGCGAATTGAAATATATTTGTTATAGCACTGAAATATATATCCTTAGGACTTGCTTATTTACACTTATTTTTTGGATTCTTTGGATCATTTAGATTTAATCGTAATCGACACAACCGTAATCGATTTTTCCTTAGATAATCACTTTAATACTTTTTCTCATAAATAAATTTGTTTCACATTTAATAATAAATTTTTGTGTAACTTAGAAATTAATAAGATTACTATCTCGTTAAAAATCGAATTAGAAAATTGAATATATTTTATATTAATTTACATTTCTAAAAATTAAAATAATTTTTAATTGTTTAAAAAATTATTACTTGAACATTTATACTAATAGCAGTAAGAATAAGAAATTAAGATTGAAGTCATGATTTAAATGGACTCTGATTTTCGAATGAAATACAGATTACGATCTCAATCTTATGACATTTACTTTCTGCCTTCCAGAAGAGATTATTTACAAATTATAACGTTATCTGCGATTATCTGCAATCAAAAATTGAACGGTCGTTGCGGGTGGGTACACTAGAAAATATAATGCTTCCACCGTCTTAAGAATGTTCTCGTCTGCAATTACGCAGAAGAGAATGTCGGAGGAGAACTTTTTCCTGGATCTCTAAAGGGAATCACGGAAGGATATTGTTATCATACGATCATCACAATATGTGCCTCTGTCCTCATTTTGCAAATTCGATTATAGGACATTCCGCTTAGGGACACAGAATTACACGATGAAATCGGAGAATACATACACCGTTTAGTAATTATTGTGCGGTTCACCGCCGTTTCTCTAAGCAAACTTCGTGAAAAATCTTGATTGTATGCCATTAAGCTGACAATTTTGCGCAACTATAATATACTATTAAATTATTCTGATGTTTAATCGAAAATTAGATTACTTACTCTTTCTAGAACATTGTTTTCTGGATTTACTGGATCGAATAAGATAATCGAACTGAAGCTTTCAAGGTACTTGATATATAAATGTTATCCTGCTTTATTAAGCAAATATTTTCTTTATTTTCCGCAAACATCAGAACGCGTAGAGTGAATCGCAGTAAATTCAGGAAGATTGAAGCAACGGAAACTGTGCAACGTTATAACTGTTTTGATAATTTTCCTTTTCCTTCTTCTTGATTTTCGAGCAGCAATATTTTCGTTTAATACGTTACGAATTTCGTAATGCGGCCAATACTTTTCACTGTCATTATGTGGATTACGTGGAGGTTTCATAAACAGCCAACCGGCGAGTCTAACGCGTCCTCCGCGACGCCGCGTCGTGCAGAGTGCAGCAGCAATCTCTGTACGGCATTATCTAAGTCATGGACCGTTACCCCCACCGACCTAAATGCACGCCGTATAAATGGTCAGGACACCTTCTAACCACTGTCAGTGAGCTTGTGGACCTAATCTCGCCATTCTAACGTACGTGCATCGTCGTGCCGTGGAAAATAGTGCGCGATAGCACGCTGCGGTGACTCTTGACACTTTTGTAACGTTACATATGGTTTCTTTCAATTAATTGCGACCTTCCTGTGCGGTGCGTTACGATGATTCATCCAGTCTGTACAATCCACGCGAAGAGTGATTATACAAGTTCGGAACGAAAGAGATGATCGTCGCCGCAGTCTATAAGGAAATATAAACCGGTTGATTGAAATAATTGAAATTTATAGTGCACAATTAAAATTATGAAGTGTGAAAATTTCGGTATTGTCAAATGTTTTGGCAGAGCCGGATGTTCAAAAGTGGCTGAAATGTTATGTTGGATATTTCTTCTGTCGATCATCTGTTCACATCGGACTTATTCATTGTCTTTTGACAATACAACGGATCTTTTTGTTCAAAAATGCCAGCTGGAATGTAGCTTACGACGAGATTTTTCAACTTGTGGAAAATACAAAGTCGTGAAGTGGTTGAACACATTAGTGAAAGAAAAGGTATTTGATGTAAATACGTTTAATTAAAAAAGTTTAAGAATTTTAATTCACATTACACAATCTTAATATGAGTAACAAATTAAACAACAATTAAATGGAAATATTATTTTTATTTCATTTAATTTTCTTTGATTTTGATTTAGCTATATTTTTCTCAGAAATGTCACAATTTTTATGATGTAATTATCATGTAAAATTTTAATGAAAACATTAATTAAATTAAAATTTATTAGATATAAATCTATATTTTATCAGATATTAACAATAATAAACAATTGCACTTAATTTATGATATTTAGGAATTATAATTGAACTAAGAAAAATATTATTATTTAGGAATTTAATTACGGACCATTTCAAATAATAAGGATCCCATCGATGTACAAGCAACCCTTTTTGCCTCGTTTGCCATATTCTCGAGCACTTAAAGGCGGCATAACGGAAGTCTTGAATTTTGTTAGAAACAGTGTAGAAGATTTATTGACGAAACGTGCCATTGTGTATACAGTAGGCAATTCGGAAAACGCACGTGATATTTCTTCGAATCTGATGTTTATGGACGAGGATGAACTTAAGCGGCTAAAGCAACTAAAGGAGGAGGAAGAAACTCAAGGTAAAATCTAGTAACATCCATCGTATGAAAAAATATTTATACATTAATAAAGGGATGTTGAAAAATTTTATTTTCTTATAAAATTAAATTATATATTTTTTAAATAAAAAGTTTTCTGTCTAGATTACGTAGTAATTAAAAACAAACGATAACTGCATTTCATATTTTTTAGTCTTAAAATTCTTGAAATCTTTGTGACACATTAATCCTCGCAATAACAAAGAAAGGTGTACTTACTATTGTATTCTATTCAACGGGACGATAATTTAATCGTTGCTTCTGTTGCATTTTATTTCGGATAACGGTCAACGTTACGCGAAACAAGTATTATCGCTATAAATTCTATGTCATTTGCTACAATGCTCTAAATGTTTGGAAAAAGCAATGTATGCGAAATGACAACGTTTAGTACCTTGTATTTCTCGTAACGGCAACAGTCTGTTACAGTGTTTGACAATTTTAGAGAAATCGAAAATTAACGTATACCATTCATTTTACAGGCAACTGGCGAATTTTCAAGAAAAAGAAATCCATAATTCTCCCGATTCTTATATTATTAAATTTAGTAAAATTAAAGTTATTGTTATTGCCGATATTCTTGGGAGTTCATTTTATCAAAAAACTTCTTGTACTCGGATCTTTAGTTTTACCATCAATATTGGCGCATTTAAAAATTTGCAAAGTACAACAGCCTCACCATGCACATCATTCACATCCTTTTCAAATATGGTCCACTGCGGCGGATTCATCGGCCGATTATCCAACAGGTAAGATCATCTAAAGAAAGCTTATCGTGAAAAATATCAAACAGATATCCATTACTTAAAAAAATTGTTAATAGAATAATAATAATAGGAAAAAAGTAATAAAATATTTTCATTTTCAATTTATATTATTCTGTACGATTGCATTTAAAATTTACTTAACAGTAAAAACTCGTCATGTATTCAATTTTAGATTATACAATTATAAAGTAAAACTTGAGTTGTGCAAATATAAAATAAATTTCTTTATCAAACAAATTGCCATGATATATAATGACTTGACATCATTATACGTTTATGTAGACTGAGTTAAGACTAACGTGGCTTATCGGTAGCCGCGAGCCAACTGATATATCTTTACAGATAAATATGCGTACGTATTCTGTATTGATGCTGGCATAAATATTTAATGCTAGCCGACAGCGACAAGTAGCAAACAGCAGAACAGCTGTCAGCTGTTTGTCTGATAACTTTATAATTGACATATTTATAAGTGTCCCTATTTGTCTTTTTAAGTTTTTAAACGCTTGTTTTAATGTGTTTTATGTTAATAATATTGAACTTTTTTCAATAGTTTTGTAGTAATTTTATTGTAAAACAGTCTTTCTGCCTATTCATATCAAATTTTTATAACATTTTGTAACAGGCTTTTTAACTTTCCTCTTTACAGGATATGCGCAGGATGATAATTGGAACAGAAATGATTATCAAGTAGGATATCCGATAAGTTATCAGATACTTCGCAATCCCTACGGGTGAAAATGTTGCAAAATTGTCAATTAATAGCGTACAGTTAGTTCTTTCGAATAATCTTCCAACAGTAAGATATGTGAATCAATTCCATCGTGACACGTGAAACTGTTAATTCGTTGACAAGTAGTGCAATTGCAGTAATGATTAATCTTTATGATTTGTGTAATCTTGGTAATCGTGTAATCTACTATTAAATTGCAATCACGATGAGCTGCACGCGGTATACGTGCCGAATGGATTCCAATTAACGTCGTCGCCGAACGCTTATCTCGACTCCACTCTCCGTCCGCCGCCTATTCCGGCGAAAAACATTCGCGAAATAAACTTTCACATAATTTACCGTTATTTTCCCATCATATTGATTTATCCTTCATTGACTTGTGGACTTCGAGAAAGGGCACAGTGTTGTAAAATGCATCCGGCTTTTTTCTTAAATTCCACGTTAATGGGAACGCGTAAATAAAAATCAAATGGCTGTCTTTTTTAAGTTATGAGAATTAGTAATAGTTTACAGTTTATTGTCTTTTATTGCCTACTTTGTACTATTTATTGTTGAGTTTATGTTAAAGCGATAGAGAAAATGTGTTCACATCCCGCGCTCTACATCGCACAGCTGATTGTTAATTAGCTTTCACTTATTATTCAACGATGAAAAATATTGTGGCTGCAAAACTGTGACTTTCCTTGAGAATCATGTATACAATAGTTTTCTTCTTGAAAGTTTTTCTTTTATCAATAGAAAGTAAATGCATCATTATAAATTAGAACTGCAATATTCTTTAGAAATCAATCATCAAACATTATTAATAAAATATTATTGAAAAATTATTACATAACTGATAAAAATGTTTAATGCAATTACAATATTTTTCTCTCCCTCTCTCTCTCT